TCGGGAGCGGACTTGGGTTTTTGTCTTGGGTGCAATGGTGACATGGGGATGCTGGCATTCTAAAAAAAAAAAAAAGAAAAAGTCACTCTGCATGGAGAATGAATGGGAGAGGGCAGAAGGGAAGCAGAGCCAGGGCCAGGCACCATGACAGCAACAGCAACAGGGACAGACATGAGGAGTATGATGGGGGAAGACAGCAGCATTTAATGGTTAACTTTAAGTGGGGGATGGGATGGCTAACAGAGGAGAAAGGAGAAATCTATATAGCCTCCTAAAACCAGGACAGGTTTCTTGAGTAAACAAAACTTTCTAAAGGTTGAAAACAACCACAGGCAAATCCTCTGCCCAGGGCTCCCGGCTGGCTCCCAGTGACTGAGAAGCAGGCCTGTGCAGTCTCACCTGTGTGGCCAGGGTGGCCGAGGTCCCTTTGCTAATAAAGCTAACGTCTCCGGTCAGAACTGTGTCTGCTGCGTGTGGCATCCTGGTGCACATTCCACGTGGAGTTTCCTACGGCTGAGAGTTTTCCAGGGATCCTGACAAAACTGGAAGCCTTGTCTCTGTTCTGCCCCTGACGGGGAGCAGCTCAGTTCTCCCAGAACCTCAGTGGCACAGCAGATACCCCACTGAAAACAGGCAAGGAAGACCCCTTTAGAGGGGGCGCCCTCTGTCTAAAGGATCCTTTGTGTCTTGTGGCTGGAATTTAACAGGAACTGATGGACATGGCAGAAGACGATGACACCGTCCTTCAGCCCAGCATCCTCAAACGACAGGAGTGCTGGGGTCACAGCCAGGAGGCCCTTGTGGCAGCTCCCAAGCTGCCCTCTGAGTTGCGACTCTGGCCTCCTACTCTGCAGTTGGTATGTGGGGTTCTAGGCTTGGCTACTGAAGCTTCACTTTAGATAAAGCCAGTCAAAACTGGAGGCAATTACCAACAAAAACCCAACGTTCTCTCAAAATGCACTTTGCATGGCCCAAATGAAGACACGACCCAAAGTCCATGGCTTCCTAATTGCTGAATGCCTGGCTTCCGCAGCTCGCTTTATTTTCTTCAGGGTAATGAATGGTCACCCTTGTTTCCTGGTGATCTCTGCCTTACTGAAGGGTGGGGCTACCTTTTATCAAGGACAACAATGGGGTTATAAAGCACTGCCTGGGCAAGTCAGACAGAATGTCCACACCTGCAGACTTTTTACACTGCCTGGAGACTGTTTCAGTACAGCTCAGCAAAAGCACGGCTAAGCTGGGCGAGGGGCCAGCAGGGTATTGTCAGAACAATTCAACATGTTGCTGGCTTCTTCCGCTCCCTAAAAACAGAAGTCACTGCACACACAACAGAAACTGCAATGCCAAATACAAGTAGAAATAAAAACGAGGGTTTTGTTCCTCCTCTCTTCCCTTAAAGGGAAAGCACAGGTGGGTGTTGGGTGCTAAACCTGTACGCTGGGCCACACAGGAATGACAGAACCCCTGGAGACGTGCACCAATATGGAACCACACTTGTTTTTGGTGTCCACAGTTGCTAAGCCTTCAGATAGCCATGTCCCACACCTGGTTTCAACAGCTGGCTCCACTAGACTGTTATGGAGAAGGTAAGGCCAGGACACAGCCCTCTGTGTGTGTGTGTGTGTGTGTGTGTGTGTGTGTCTGTGTGTCTGTGTTGGCTCTGCATTGTGGTAAGAACAAGAGCAAAACCTGGTCGCCATCCTGCAAAGGTTCCTTTGTCAGAGCAACAGTCCACTTTGTGCTTTGCACAGCCTCAGACTTTAAACCATGGTGATACATGCCTACACAAACAGCCAGCTCTGTGCAGAATAAAAATATACTACTGGCTGGGCTACACTGGCTTCAAGGACTGCTTCTCAATCCATTTCCTAAGCTAAAGAGCCTCCAGACACCATAAAAGATACTATGATATTAGGCACTCATTTCAGCCCCCAACTTTAATCTCAGAAACATATGCTCGTAAAAGTAGGATCAAAACACCTTGAAGCTCTTGGGGGCCTAAAGACAAAGCTGTAAGGAAACACTGGGTTTAGAAACAGATGAACTGAGAGTAAGAAATGGTGACATCTTTGAATAAAGCACATGTGCGAGATATAGAGACGGAGAGAGTCTCTCACAGGCCGCGGCAGCCTCGGAATCAGGGTCCCCCTATTTCTCATCTCTGTCCACAAATCAGAAAGACCAAGACAGTTAATCAATAGCCTTGGGGGCAGGTGTGGGCCAGAGCTCTGGGAAGGGTTTAAAGTCTGAGGCCGTGCTGACATGAGCTCACTTCTTCTTAAACACACTATGGATCCTGTTCATATATAATTATGGATTTGTGTGGAGGGTCACAAACGAATTAGAAAGAGAGATCCAATCACACTTCTCTGCCTTTCATGATTAGTGCATTATTAAGACCAGGAAGAGAATCACTTAATCCAGAAAGCGATTTTCTCACCAAACCTGGCCTTTGTCTTCTTACCAGAAGAGATTAAGGACTCATTTAATCACACCCACCTCAGCTGGCATCTCTCGTGCCGACAGGACGGAGAACAACCAGCCTGAAACAGGATCACAGAGGGAAGACTCGCCCACAACGGGCATGCTTTATAAGTAGGATGGACCTGTGGACATTATGCTTAGTGAAATAAATGAGGCACAGAGAGGCAAATACTATGCAACCTCACCTCTGCCTGAAAGCTACTAACGTTAATCTAGGGACAGAGAGCAGAAGGGAGGCTGGGGCGTTAAGGGGGAGGGGAAGAGGTTCCTCGAAGGGGACGAAGTCTCAGACGGGAAGAAGAGCCGGTGATCGGGCAGCCTACGTTTCCTAGCAGCTGAGACACCCTTGTCTCTCATCTGAGTGCCTGGCTCCAGCTCCTGACTCCAGCTTCCTGCTACTGCAGACCCTGGAAGGCGGCAGCGATGGCTCACGTAACTGGGTTCCTGCTGCTCATGTGGGAGGCTGAGATGCATTCTGGCTCCCGGGCAAATCTAGGCCTGCCTGCCTGGCTCAGTCTGCCCCACCAAGGCCACTACGGGCATGGGGGAGCGAACGAGTGGCTAAGAACTAATGCGCGCTCTCTCTCTCTCTGATTCTCTAACACATAAAAACAGCTTAAAATTTTTAAAGTAATATTTAGTAATCTATTGCATTGCATCATGATCACAGTTCATAATAATAATGTATTGTATATTTCAAAATCATTACAAGAATGGATTTTTTTTAACATTCTTGTCACAAAAAATAATAAGTTGGTACTAGATATTTAATTAGCTTGATTCAATCTTTTAACAATGTCTATATAGATCAAAATATCACACTGTCCTCTACAAAAATATAAAATTATTACTTGTCAATTAAAATAAACAAATAAAAACATTTTTAAAAGGTAAAGAAAACACAGGTCCAATTCTGGTTTTTGTTCAGCATTTTATCTCAGGCTGAATTCATCTCCAAAGTGAAGGGGGACTCTAAAAACCAACCACTTTGCTCAGAATCAGCTGAGTCCCAAGAAAAAGTGGCGTTGTGGCAAGCACCTCCCTATTTCCAAAGGGCTCCGTGGGCACCTCTACCTTTCAAGGTGAGACAAATGCAGGCCAGCAGAGAGGGGAAGCACCTGGGGGCTTCAGAAGAGGCAGCTAGGGGGCTAGGAAAGGGGTGGGCTGGGCAAAAGGCCTCCTGTGCAGGGCCTGTGGGACAAAATGCCCGCAGGCAAACGTATCCCCTGGCTGCCAGCGCTGCTGGGGAGGCCGAGCCTTACCGGCCTTGGGACTCTGCAGGTTTGCTTTATTCTGCCTTCAGGCTGCATGCCCTCTAAGACCTCCCTGCAGACGGGGTTCTACTTCAAGAACTCCAAAGCCAGGGAAAATGAGGGGACACGGACGTCTGACATGGACATCTCTGGTTGGTGTTCGACTGAGAATTCCTACATAAAGGCTCCAGACGTGGGCTTGCTGCCACAGCTCTGAGCTCTCTGGTTCTTATTAACATCAGAAGCCCTGATTGTTTATAAAGTTAGAGCAGTTTCAGGGATCAAAAGGTACCTGAGGGCAAAGACGCTGCCCCTCCAAACCAGAGTTAGCCCCAGGCCCTGCCTCCATCCACCACCGCATCTCAGTGGGACCCCTTGAGAAGTGATTCAACAGCTTGTCACCCCCTTGCCTAAAACCCTTCTGAGGGTAGTGTTTACCCTTGCAGTGCATGTAAAACATGTTACACTTCCTGATAGAAAATGCCTTTAAAACAAACCCTCCAGCCATTCGGGACTAAAACCCAACCTCCTTCCGTGCCCCCCTCCCTCTCCTGCCTGTTTTGCTGCTTCGCCCAGCTCCCCTGGCTTGGGGCACACCTGGCCTCTCTATTCCTCCAAGTGTGTTCCCTCCCAGCCGCCCCCAAGGCCTTAATAGTGTCAAAGCAGCCCCCAGCTCTCTCCCTCATCCCCGTGCTCTCCCTCGGCATCATGTCCTTTGCAGGTGGGGTTGTCTTGGTTTCTCTGTACTATCTGTGTCCTTCCATGAAGTTACCAGTGGGGCGGGCCTTGCCCTCCAGTCCAGTTCCTGCTCATCTTACTGAGGCTGCTACATGGAAGCTGTTCAAAAATCGGGGTGTGCCCTCGGGTGACAGGTCTCTGGGCCTCAGGTTCTCTGGGGCAGGCTGGTTACGGGAGCAGCTGTCGAGGGGACTCATGGGTCAGCCTTCCCTCTCCTTGGTTCTCAAGTTCAGTAAGTCCCACTTTCACCCATGGGACCCAATAGAAAAGATGGGAGAATGGCTAGCCACCAGCTGCTGGGAGAAAAACGACTCTCAGGGAGTCACCCCCGGCCTTCTTTTCTGAGGCGCCCAAGTGCCTTGGTCTGAGCCTCTAAGGCCTTTATCTGTCAGCCTTGAAACCCAGCGGCTGGACCTTGCACTCTGAGTTGGCTCCAAGACCTCCTCCTCCTCCCAACAACTCAACTCCAGACCCCAGAGGGACGCTCGTGCGCATGAAAGATGAGATGGCAAAACAGTTTACCTATGATGTTCACCGTACTATCCACTTCATGTTTTATAGCTGAAGTCAGGACCGCATACTCAGAAGAAAGATCACTTACTCCATTACTAAGCCCCAAAGATGACTCAATTGGTTCTTGCTAGGAAGAAGAAAAGAAAACAGAATTGAGAACACTTCCTTTCCCCCCTCCCTTTTCTTCACTTCAGTCCTACCCTCTCTACTTTCTGGGGACCATTCACGTTGGTCTAGCGAATGCAATCCCACTTCTTGAAGCCAGCCTGGGTCACACAAGTTTCCGAATGGGTGCACAGCCGGGTGTTCGAGTTCTTTGCCTTTGGGGAGCCGTCACTAACGCACCCGGCTGGCTCTGAGGAATGCCTATACCTGCAGACAGCGGCTTGGAGGGCTGAGCAGAGCTGCGTGGCTGTCAGTGAAGTACTGCAGCGTGGAGTCTGAGCCTGCCTTCTCCGGGGGGAGGGCGTGCTCAAGAGCTCCTGGTGGTCTCTCCGTGGGAGCAATCGTGCCACCTCTTGCACAGCTGTTTGCGGAAAGCTCTGCTTTGGCGACTGGCGCAAGAACAGGGGCCCCGAGGAAGCTGGGGAGTCCTGCTTAGGTACGGCTTGCCACAGTTCCTGGCCCCCTGTGCTCCCTGCTGTCAGTGTGTGGCTGACTCGTAGCAGATGCCTGAGTCCAGCTGCATAGGTCCCCACGTATGGCTTCACACAGATGCCCTTCGGGTGCCTGACTGGTCCATGCAACCCAAGAAGGCTCCACATTCATAGTAATGAATCAGCGAACATGAATCCGCCTGCCTTAAAACAGCTCTAAACCTCTGCCCTAATGTCTGTGCCTCAGTTCCTCCATCTGTAAATGGGTATACTACCATCCCCGCCACTGTGCCCCCACCCCTGCCCTGGCCCCCAGTCTCTTTGAGAGTTCTGGTCCACCCTGGGAAGGCCAGTCCCAAGGCAGACATTGACTGTGAGCATTCTAATGAGAAAGCATTTTCCACAAAGTAAGATTGCATTTGCTTCTGGGACAGCAATCATCAGGTCAGTCAAAGCCCATACAGGACAGCCCCTGAAGAATCGCAAACGAAGAAGAGGGTAGAGCAGCAGTACAAGGAACACAGGACTGGAAGCAGAGAATCACATAGGGAGAATGGCCTGTGCTTTGAAAGGCTGTGAGTGGGGGGCAACTCTAAGGCATGGTGGGTGTGGTTACCAATCTATTTTGCACCACTTGCCGTGATAAATCCCATTCCCCCCAAAATCTTAGCCAAGTCACAGGGAGGGCGGAGAACCACCCCCTCTTCAAGATCCCACCTTGCAAATCCCCATCCCAACAAGGACTTCAAAGGCATTGGTGGCTTCACTTCACTGTTTGGTATCTAGAGAGAACACACACACACACACATACACATACACATATGCACACTGCATGGTTTATCAGCTGTACCAAAGGCTGGATGTAAGGAAAGGCCCAGAACAGCCCCACTGGATAGAACTTTCCCTCCAAGCATCTTGCATTTTCCCCCTTTTTTCCAAGATCCAAATAAGAAGTTCACCCTTGCTGGCGCTGTGGCATGGTGGGTTGACACCCTGGCCTGAAGCACCGGCATCCCATATGGGCGCCGGTTCGAGACCCGGCTGCTCCACTTCCTTTTTTTTTTTTTTTTTTTGACAGGCAGAGTGGACAGCAGAGTGGACAGTGAGAGAGAGAGAGAGAGAGAGGTCTTCCTTTTGCCGTTGGTTCACCCTCCAATGGCTGCCACGGCTGGCGCACCGCGCTGATCCAAAGGCAGGAGCCAGGTACTTATCCTGGTCTCCCATAGGGTGCAGGGCCCAAGCACTTGGGCCATCCTCCACTGCACTCCCTGGCCACAGCAGAGAGCTGGCCTAGAAGGGGGGCAACCAGGACAGAATCCAGCGCCCCGACCGGGACTAGAACCCGGTGTGCTGGTGCTGCAGGCGGAGGATTAGCCTACTGAGCCGCGGCGCCGGCCCTGCTCCACTTCCAATCCAGCTCTCTGCTATGGCCTAGGAAAGCAGTGGATGATGGCTCAAGTCCTTGGGCCCTTGCACCTGCATGGGAGACCTGGAAGAAGCTCCTGGCTCCTGGCTTTGGATCAGCACAGCTCTGGCTGTTGCAGTCAATTGGGAAGTGAACTATCAGATGGAAGACCTCTCTCTGTCTCTTTTCTGTCTCTCCTCTCTCTGTGTAATTCTGACTAAAAAAATAAATAAGTAAATAAATAAATAAGAAGTTCACCCTGAGAAAAACTCCCACTTGCCTGTGACCTGAATCACCATCTTTTCCCTTCCTTTGAAGCCATGACCGCCCCTTTATGAACTTCACCTCCTCATCTGTGCCCGTTACCACTCGCAGTCTCACTTCCCATGCATCTGCAGAATTCAGCTCCCACAGGGACCCGAGAGCACAGGCTTTGGGACCAGGCAGGCGAGGGGTAGGGTCTGGCTCCTTCGCTTCTCACTGGCTGTGGGACCTGAGCCTCTCTTGGCGGGGAGGGGCAGGCACTGTGGACAGTGGTAAACCGATAATAAGAGGACCCAGGTCCAAGGGGAGGTCTGAAGATTCAATGAGATGAAGATGCATGTGGAACTTACTACCCAGTAAGTGCTGACTACCATCAGAGGCCACCAACGAAACTGCTCTCCCCAGTGCAAGGACTGCTTCTCCAGTCCCTCCCCGCCCCACACGCGGGGGCGTCTTCCTGCCCGAGCACCTCCTGGCTTGACCTTGCTGCCACTCTGCCTCTCCTCACTGCAGCCTTTCTGCCTCCCCAGCCCCAGTCATGCCCCACATTTCCTTACCCCTCTTCCACTTCCTCTGTTCCCTCACAAGGAGGTAAGTAGAGGCATTTGAAAAAATGATGGCGAGAACTGCTTATTTTTATGGATTTCTTTCGCTATATTAGTATCTACTCATTCTGTGTCTAGGTTTCTTATAAAAGTTAATGAGGTAGTCAGACTTGCATATATATAAAAGCCTAAATTATTCTGATTTTTCCTCTCTCCAATTGAAGGCTTCCAGTGTTTCATATGATCTACAGTTTAATTAGTTGCAAGCGATACTTTTATCACTTTACACTTGAGAAAATTATGACTCAGAGACTAAATTAATTTTCCAACAGCACACACTACTTTTAGCCTGAGCAGCTACAGGAACTGAACTCAGTCTTCGGCTATGCAGCACAGCTCAATTCCAGGAGCTTTGTCTTAACAAACCCTGTGCTCTGCACTAACGCCAGTGGAAACTGAGATGGAACTACTACGAACACGGCTTTACTCTCTCCATCCCCATCTGTGCCCTGCACCGCTTCTACATGCAGTCTGCCAACCGTGACAGACTATTTTGAATATTGGTTCACTCCTGCCACCTGCACCCCACGAAGGAGCTCTCCATGTCAAAGTGGTCGGTGAAAACCATCTTGTGTGTGCAAGATCTCTGCGCAAAGGCAGCCAGCGCCATCCAGAAACATCTCCAGCCAGGGAGCAGAACAAGTCTGGAGAGATCTTCACCAGAGTCTGAAATGACTAGAAGCACGGATATCTAAACCCAAGCTATAGTCAACATCCAAGGGCCCCAAACTGAAAAAAGGGGTGCACAGTTCTCTATGGATCAAGGGGGCAGAGAGCCTGCGGGCCATCAAAGGCCTTCGTTTGCAGCCTCTCCGGGCATCTGGTGCCCAGCTCCTGTCCTGTGTCCTGCCCGGTTACGCCTGAGTCAGCCTCCTCTCTCTGTTCTCTTTCTCACTCTAGTTTTGACTCTCCTATAAATCAAACAGCCTATAGCTTCCTTGGTTCCTAATCCTCTCAGCTTGCACAGAGATAAAGATTGTGGGTCCATACTCTTCTATGATGCACTAACTTTGCCAAATAATGTATTTAGGCTCTGTAATTACAGAATCCAAGGCATGGTCTACAGTTTGAGGGACTTTGTGCAAAAGCAAACTGGCACAGGAGACAGTTCAGGGGCAGGCATGGCCTTCAGTTGATTTCAAAGCTAGCCTTGCTGGGTAGGCCTGGGGGTGGGCCTACATTAGCCGACAAGAGGGTCTCTGTTCCCTGGTGCCCCTTTCCTCTGCCCTAAGCCCTGTCATCTTATCCCGTGCCAAAGCCCTTGTCTAGATGGCCTCTCTGCTTGAGGTCCAATACACTGGCCATAAGATCACCTTCTACCACCAACCCCCCTCCCACCCCACAAAATGCCTTCATTCATGGGTACAAAGCCAGTTTCCTCTAAGTCAGGTTTGTGGACATCAAACTGAAGGGCCCCTGTGGGTCACTTTGCCAACAAGCCTTCCTGACAGCTGGGCTTCATAAAGTCAGCCAGGGACTTGCACGTACCAGAGTACCCGCACCACTCCACAATATTGTGGACAGCCATAATACCACCGAGAACAGCAGCTCTGTGCTCGAACCACCCCCCCAGGCCTGGCTGCCTTAGAACCTTCCTCCCCATCTTCCTTAGAACCAGGCCACCTCCATTCTCTTCATCCCTTCTCGCACGGCAGCGTCCCTCTGGCCTTTCATCCTCAGCTCACTTTTCTCTCCTCTGCTCCTTGGTCTCTGCCCTAATCTCAGAGCTTCCAAGAGAGAAGCTCTGTTTCCAAGGTCTCCACTATCATCCTGGAGTCAGCGACCACACAGCGGCACCTCCAACACTCACTGAGCTCTACGCCTATTAGATCCCTGGTCTTGGCTTCACAGGCTGTCATCACAAACTCAACAGGTTCTCCACTAAGGGGAGCACCATCCCCCGACCCTCCCTCTCTGAGGCTTGAAAACCCGGGGCCTCCTGTTTCATCCACTCTCATCTTCATCCTCCGTATCCTGCTCCATACTCTGGGAAAACGTCTCCTCCCCTCTACTCCAACAGCCACCATCTTTGTCCACACTTTGAACTGTAGTCTCCCTCCCCTCCATTCCTTCCTGTTGCTGCAAGAAAGACCTCCTTGACACAGCAACCCCACAGTTCTCCAAATTTGCTCCAAGGAGCTCAACTGCACCTCATTCCACAGAATCACCCGTGGAGGCTACTACGCCCACCAGTTTTCCACCTGCGCTCTGAGCAGTGTCCTCACGAGCAGAAGGAAGGAACCAGCGCAGGCAGGAT